AATAGTTTCGGGGGCACAAAGCCTAAGCAAATATTTTAACTTGAGAGTAAATATATCTTAACATAACGAAACCGTCAAAAAGAGAGGAGAGAGAGGGTGGGGGTATTTTTGTTTGCGCACAAACTGTTTAAATTTGTGGCACAGCTTATTACATTAAACGCAACGAAACTCGGTTAACTGGGATCCCGGTATCGAAAAGGCACCGGGTTAAACTTCACCTCAAGCTAGCCAGCCCAGCTCATGCAATCAGCTCTAAGCGCTTGATGAGACTGAATGACAGCTTGGATTCAATTGGCTGAGCCAAATCATACCATGTGAAAGATTATCACATGCGGGAAGTGAAACATGAGAGGAACTGAACTGGTTTATTCTCGATCTCTCGAAGGATTTTACAGGGGTCTATGATTATGAGATTAAATTCACTATATAAATTCAGTTTTATAGATTAAGTCAAAAATTTGCCTAGGTACCGTAAAATTCCGAAAATAAGCCCCTCCATATATAAGTCCCCCAAAATCGCAACGCAAAAAACCCTCCGTTAAATCGCCCCTCCGAATATAACCCTCCCCCCTCCCCTCCCCCTGGAGGGGCTTGTACCTGGAATTTGCCCTCGAATACAAAGTAAAACAAAGCAAAAATGGTAAATTTCTTTTCCCACTACAAGCCAGCCCAATCCATTTTGAAACGCAAATTTCCCTCCATACATAAGCCCCTCCGAATACAAGCCCCTCAAAAGGGTCTTTGAAAAATATAAGCCCCGGGGCTTATTTCCGGAATTTTACAGTAATGGATATGTGAACTTTAACTCAAGTGACCAAATGGGTCGGTAATTCAACGTAACATCCTCCATCTGAACCCCGCCTGACCACCAAGGATCCTTTCTTTTTATAATTAATTAAGGCCAGTTTTTACGTGAACTTACTTATCTTTTGAAAATTAAACTAACCTGAGGAAAATCGACCTTCTTACACTTTGTTCCTGTCGTCCAAGAGTCCAAGTAAGTGGTTCCTAGTTGTGCTCCGGAGAGGGCAGATTCCAAGGCAATCCAGTTTTATTCCGCAGCTGCATTCGAGCCATCGCTGTACTCGTAGATGCAAGCTCGAAATTGACTGTGATCTTCTGATTCCACCCAAACAACAGCACCATTAGTTGAGTTACCAGGTGAAAGAAACACTTTTACTAGCTTTCCGCCAGAGAATGGTTCCTCGAAGGTAATTTTCTCGAAAGCAAATAACCCTGAGCTCCTGGCAGTAATATTATTGATTTTCCCAGATTTAAAACTGGCAGCTGCAAAAGAAAAACAAATGTTTTTAAAAGATAGAAAACTCACTTTAGTTCTGAACTGTTAAAACAGGGAGCGTAAGATTCTTTGAAGTATTTTCTTCCTTGTGCGCCCCACCCGATATCTTTCTTTCTTCTTCACAACGAAACATACAATTTCATTGTTGAAAAACGTCAAATACTATCAGCACTTTATGAAATGAGTTGTTTAGAGTATTAAGTAAACAAAAAATATTTTAAGGTAGGTGTACCTTGACTTCCTTGAGCAAGAAGCATAGCTGCAGCAAAAATTGCAAAGAGGACAGGCGGGACGTGATGCTCTCCCGACATCTTGCTTTAACTAAATCAAATACTTCCTTTCTTGAAAATAATATTCCCATGTGTTCGCTGAAATTCATTATTTCTGTTGCGTTGACAGTAAAAGGAGAAGTAAAGCACTAATTTTCCTAAAATGGAACTATTTTTGGACTAAAGTTAAGGTCGCAGAAGGGGGGAAACACTCTTTGAAGAATTGACATAAACTATTCACATTGTAGTGGCCTAAAAATTCAGCAACCTTAAAAAATAATATGAACACACCTAGCCTCCATTTGTTTGGTCCGTTTCTCCCCCCTCACACTTATTTGCCCTCCAGGGAACAGAGTGTTCACCCGGAAGTATTTTTTTTGAGTGTCGGGTTTCACTCGGAATTCACGGCTACATTCCTGTCTCGAAGCCTCGATCTTTTTTCGCTGTTGTTAACAGATGTAATCTTCCGCTTACTCTTGAATGTCACTCATTACATGCCCTTTATTTTACCTGATCTGCCTCATAGAACTGATTATTCCCTGTCCGAGGGCGATCAAAACAAAAATACACCTTACTATTAAAAATATCTTTCCCAAAATGTTATCAAGAAGTCAAGAAATCCATCAACCAATTATTTATGTCAATACGTGGGATGGGGTTACGCCGATCATCCGAACCCAAGGATCATTTATGAAACGTATGATAAAGCATATAATGGATTTTCTTTACCGTTTCCTTTCGTTTAACAAACCACTTTTCCAACCATTAAATTTGTATTGATAGCTTTTATCAAGGGTCTTTTGTTCTCCTTGACGAGTCGACTGCCTTGATTCTTGCGCTTCCAGGAATAAAAGCAAACAATGCAATGAATTCAGCATATGACATCCTGGTCCACTTTATGGATTTACATTTCAGATTGTCAATGTTGTTGCATTAGAGAATCAGCTCGGCTCTACAACACATTTGATATGACTAGAATTTCCACCCACTGTGAGAAGTATAACATTTTTTATCTGCAAATGTAAGATAATCTGTAAGTGTCTGCCGGGTTTTACTGCAAACCAAATTTACCAAAATCATTCCTCGCAATACGCAAGAGGAGCAAGACTGTGTTGAATGGTTGAATCTTCTGTCTCTGAGAAACAAGTCAACACAGGAGTTTTGTATACAGTTGGACCTTCTTTACTCATCTTAAAGTGACGATAAGTTGGCTATACTCTCGAGAAATCGTGCTCATCTTTAAGATGAAAAAGACAGTAACCCGGGGGAAGGATATATAAGCTATATAGGTTTCTGCAACCCCATCGGGCAGGGATTTTGCGTCGTTTTGGTCTGAAAACGGGTATACGCTTTGCCCATTTTGGTCAGGGATCGGGTATGGTTTTCGAGGAAACTACGGAGTGGATTTGAATAACTTTTTTGTTTCCGCTCTAATCTATGTAATTATAACATAGCTTTCTGCCTAAAGGCTAGGTCTGAAAACGGGTATGGAAAATTACAGTTTTTGGTCTGAAATAGGGTCAGGATTTGGAGAACCGGGCGGCATACCCCCACCAAGAATTCCCAGGAGTTCGCTCCCTACCTCCCGCCGGGGGGACAGTAATCGGATTTGCCACGAGCCCAAGGCTCGGGCTATGCAAGAGAATTCAGATCCGGAATCCCTGAAATATTTTTGCTCATGGTATCTGGAATCCTGGAAATTTTGCTTGTGGAATTTGGATCCTGGGCTTTGGAATCCGGAATGTAGCTCAAGGTTATCCGGAATGCCACTAACGATTGGAATCGGGGATCCACGACGTGGAATACAGAATCCAGGATTGTCCTGGATTCCCTTACACGGGGTGACAGGGCAATGCTCTCAGCCCAGATATCCGGCGAAACTGGAATTCATTGATGACTTCTATTTTTTTATTTATTCGGGCAGCGTTATTAGCAATGAAGATGGCTTTGAATTCAAGGAGATCTCAATAAGGTAAGGCTGTGAAAGGCCAGAGGGGTGTTAGTATACTACAGGAAATCGACTAAAATTCAGGTGTATAACAGCTGTGTGAACTAGCTCGGTGTTTTTATATGGCAGGAGTATTGAGAAGCATTGGGTAAGAAACATTGTGAGTTAAGATGAAGTTTTCCAAAACGGCTAGCGACGGGGGATCTGTAATGGAAACCCGGACAAAGCAGGCTTTCATTCTCAGTGGGTCCCAATAGAGTTTTTCACTCCCGTAATCCCGACCCAAAACTTCATGCAATCCCGTAATCCCGAGGGTTCTTTTTGGTATCCCACCTCCCGCGAATACTTTCAATCCCAAATCTCGCTCTGATTTTGCTTTAAAGTCCCGAATCCCGAGCTTCAAATGAGGGAAATCAAGTATCCTCCAAAACCTATTGAGGACCCTCTTCTTAGCATGACAGCCCGTTAAAAATCTCGCAGGGGTCAAAAAATTTTTCTTTGTTTCCTAATTAATCTCAAGTTTCTTTCTAGAGTCAATTCGTTGGGTTTCTCACTTTCAGCACGCGCAAGTATACACTTGACTTTTCGAGTCCTTCGTATGAGTGTGACTTGTACACTTGATTCACACAGTAAACCTCCACCGTCTCGCCTGGATTTAGCTCAGTCGGTAGAGCGCTCCTTTATGTAATCCTTGTAATCCTGAGATTCCGGTCGTGAGTAAAATGACCCCAACTTGCCAATAGCCTATTGTCATACACATGTGCCAGGTATTTCACTAAATTGTGCGTTTATTTCTCAAAAAAAAAACTCTAATCCTAATCCAATGATTTCCCAACCTAGTGCAGTCCCCATCGGGACCGCAGGGCTAGTGTCCTTGTTATTAGGAAGCAAGAGTCTGCCGTAGAAAGGGAATTTAGCTGCTGTTCGTACTGCCGTTGGCGTGCAAGACGAGAGTGACTGTACCTATAGTCGCTATGCATTTCGTTTCCGATTTTACAGAGTGCATCCCTATACCCATCAATATTAAAACAAGTAAGCAGATTCATATATCCCGCATTTCCCGATACATCTTTTCCTAACTAGTGAAACATCTGTTCATCGCGGTTTATTTAGCAACTACATGGCGTTCTTGGACTCAGTGTATATTTCTGATTACCGACAAAAATGACACAGAAACCTGTATTGCTAATTGAAAGTGTTATTTTATTTACCTAGTTTGTCTTCCTTGAATTTCTGGTAAGTTCTAATACTATAACTGTATTTCTTATTTGGTCTTCAAAACAACTTAAAACAAAATTTTATATCCTCTTTTTGAGTTTAAAGAAAACTGTTGTTGCTTGTTAACTCGAGTAGTACGTTGAGATATATTAAAGCGCTATATAGTTTTTTTTTCGCCGTTTGCTTAAGTTATAATAGAAATTCAAATATTGAAGTCCTTTTTTTTTTCTTTTTTTTTATTTATTACTTTACTTGCACCTTGTTTTCAGTTAGTACCACAATAACGGACATTACAAGTAGGTGTACCACTAAGATAGTACACATAATGTGAACCACAATTTCTCACTTTGATGTTTGTTGACCCGCGACAGCAGTTATTACTCCAGTGAAAGCACACCTGCCTGCTGACCTGACCATCTGCTACTGCAGGGTGTCCACCATTCAACCAGCCGGTTGCATAAGTGCCACATCTGAGTATAGGTGGACATGTAGTTGCCATTCTTGTACCGGCGGACCCCTCGAAACGAAACCAACCAGGTCCGATTCCATTGTCACAATAACCGCCACCAGTGTACGTAATCTTTCTGGTATAACTGTTAAGGCTTCCGTAATTCTGACATTCTGATATAGAAAAAAAATAATTGTTATCATAATTATTATAATAAAAATTAATTAAACTTTTAAAAAGCTAGAAAATTATTTGAAATTTTAATATTTCTTGTAGTTTACCTGATTTTTTAAGTTTAATCTGCTGTACATAAACAGATTCAAAGTGGGTTATTTTCACGTCCCCAAAGATCCCCAGCACCTGCCCCACTGTGGCGATAATTGTCTACATACGAGTAATTGAGGATTGGTTACTGGCTTTCACACACTGGTAGATATACAGACCGAGGTTAAGCAATCACATGGGAAAGGGGGACAAATATATCTTTAGGCATTCTTTAGCTGCCTCGATCTGCCATTGCAAATGGATGAGTGATCTCTAGCTGCTACATACGATGAAGTAGGGAAATAGTAGGTTAAATCCTCGCGGAGCGAGGATCGCAAGCGAGCTGCGATTTCGCTTTGGTCATAAATCTTTCTATCGGTTTGGTGTCCGCAGTTGCCTGGCAACAAGCCATAAACAAATAATAAAGACGCCAAATGCACGTCATCGTGTATTTTGGGTTTCCAGGCAACACGGCCAGCGACTTTTAATTTATTCATCCTCTGTTTATTGTAAGCTGGCGAATCGCAAAGTATTTCTGATGCAAATAACAGCGGCTGCAAACACAACAGTGCCCTATTGGACAAGTGGAAGTCCTTGCAGTGGAAGGTTTAAGAGAGTGTTGCTGTAAGAGCGGTCCGGTCGATTTTGCTTGAGAGACAGATTTAGCTCATTTCTTGTGTGTTGTAAGACATTCATGTACCTATACTAAAACCACAATCCCTTTGATCGGATCTCTTTGTTTTTCAGAGTTTTACGGAAATTAAATTTCACTCCAGCGAAGGCCTGTCGTGCCTCGTGGTACAGACAACTTTTATTTTATTCTCATAACCTTTTCCTTTAAATTAGACTGGTATTAATTAATAAAGTTGTTTAAATGATTTTAACCGAGGTAACCGTATGACCTTTTTGCTTGCCATCAGTGATATAAAATAAGGTGTCTTTTCTTCCAGAACCTTTTATTTATGCCTTATTGCACGGAATGAGCACTACACTTAGAATGTGTGTTCTAAATTATTTTTGCTGTTCCCAAGAATGTATGCAAAATCATTGCTTTATACAAATCTGACTCTAAAATATGATTTTCCGTAACAGTAACCAATGTCATTTACGTAAGGTGTTAATTTGAAAGACTGCTATGCAGGACACCATTTCTTTTTCATTTTCAGTTACCCTCTACAATTTTTTATAAGTATGTAAAGATATAAAAAAACAAAAAGGTTTTTGCAAGTAAACTGTATTTTTTAGTGTGTTTGACTCTAAATATATATATATATATATACTTTGTTCTGGCAAAATGGTGGCTAAGAACGACTGAATATATACCTACTTGGAAATAAAATGATGCTGTTTCGTTTCCGGTTAAAACATTACGTAAGAGTGACGCGTGTCTGTTCAAATTGTCACAAAACCACGTCACAAAGTCAAAGCAAAACAGAAAAAAGTGTAATTTTCATAACCAACTTACAATCTCTCCACCATAGACAGCAACAAAGCTTATCCTTCCACTGAGCACTGGCACTCATGGGTCATTTCCTTTATTTTTGACATTAGAAAAGCTTTGGAATCTCTAGATTTAAATGGGAACTCGAAGAAAGTACAGATTTCCTTAAGCATGGAAACAGTAAAATAGTTCAATTTTTCCTCCTTGACGTAGTCACACAAGTCATTTATGTCACAGACAATCTGATGTTTTAAGCCAATTTCTATTACAACTGATTCGACGGTGGTTATGTGACTCACTTCTTCCTCGTCAATTAATTCCTTGTCAGATTTATCGTCAACCGCGGTGCTCGGAAACGGACCTGCCCGTCTCCTTCTCGAGGAGGACAAAAGGGAGAAAAATCCTTGTATTTGGGCTTTGGTTAGCCACTCTTCCCGGCAAAACAGGCGCTCGTATCTTGCGAGATTTGTCGCAGATCCTTCCTTCCAGATTGCTCACCAATTTCAAACTTGGAGGTGAGATACTGCCTTACTTTCTCTGAGAAGCGAAAAGCACCGCCTTTTGGCTTATGAAGTGCCCATCCTTCACTTAAATTCGACTGGAAAGGTTCGCTACCCTGTCTCTACATAACATTGGTACTGTCGTCTTCTGAAAGGGTAAGGGATGAGAATTTTTCAACCCAGCTGTGTCTCAAGCAAAATCGACCGGACCGCTCTTACAGAGACACTCTCTTAACACCGAAAGAACGGTGACCTGAACTTCAGCGAGAGCAGCGAAGAAGAAGACCACTCCGTTAATCGAGCGGCCTATTGAAAGCCCGAGGGTGAATAAACACGGAAATAATGCGAAATGGTTTTGAAATACTCGTTTGAGCTATTTTTCCTCAAATGTATCTTTGAATTCATGACAAATACAGCTCCATAAGGTTCAAACGGTGTGAATGGCAAGGAAAAATACTTCAACACTATTAATTTTGATGAGTTATCGGCGCAGTGGTCGCATGGCCCAGTGGTCAGGACCACACTTTTTCGCTGGAGGAAGTTGGGGTGCAACTGGGTTCCAACCCCGGCTTGTCTACTTCCATTCTTTTCTGTCTTTCATCGTTTTTTTTTTACCCTTTGGCTTTTTGCTGTTTATTCTTAGTGCTGACCCCGTTAGCTTCGAGAGATTTTTTTGCGAAAACGTATTTCTAGTTTTATGCACTAAAATTGGTTAATTTCATCACATTGACGCTAGTTTCTTTGTCATCTGTCCTCTTATTGATCATAACACCGCATCATGACATTGTCAAAGTGTTGCGGATCCACGAGCACGAGCCCCAGGCGAGTGAATCTACTAGAAAATTTGACAATGTTGCTGCGGACCTGGCGTCAATTTGCTTTTTACTTTAACAAAAGTTTGGAAAAAGGATCAGTAAAAAGCATTTTGCCTTTCAAAGAGAAACTACTAACAGTAGAACCCGGTTAATACGGATACATTAGGGGAAATGCCATGGTGTACACGGAAAGAAAGACTGACTTAAAATCAAACATATCAAGCTATTCTGCTACTTAAACCCAGAAATCTGTCATTGTTTGGACAGTGTAAAATATCTACAAATAGCAGTACGTGATTGTGACAAGGAAAATAGACGGTACGCAGATAGCCAGTGCCCGTAAATAGCAGGGTTGACGGCGTTTGTGCCTCAGGACACAGAAAAGTGTCCATTGTGTCCGCATTAATCGGTGACCGTATTAAAGGGTAAATTTTAGAAACTGTCCGTTATATACGGGTGTCCGTATAAAGCGAGTGTTCCGTCTTGCAGAAATTAAAATTTTATGTCTGTCCTCTTCGTATTGATAGAAATTATCCAATCAACGCGCGAGGAATATTTCAGTTAGTTTATGAAAATGTGGCTATCTAAGAAAACTCACAAATCCCGCGCGTCGTAGTGTCGGTAATAAAATACTTTTACTTTTTACCTTTGTAACTGTAAAACAAACAAAAAAATCTTACAGGGTGGTCTTGTGCTATAAGGTTGCCTTGGAACATTGGCAGCAAGGTCGAGTTTCAAAATCCCTTGAGTGAGGATGGCTTCGAACTCAAAAGGAAGTATGAACTATTTCTATTCGATTTTGTCATTGCCTGCAATTTCAAGCAATTTCATTTTCTTCTTCTGCACGGATCCGTGTGCGTCAAGGGATATCATAGAGCAAATAACGGAAAGCAGCGAACGAGACTTCCTGGAGATCTTCCTGAAGCTTGATATCATAATGGTCGGGCTGAAAAGCGCAAAATAACAAACACCTGTAAAGTTTTTTTTCTTTCTGAGCTTGCGTGCCAGCGGCATGATGCTCTCTTTTCAAATGGTGCGGTTTCAAACTCGCAGTCTACCGCGAATTTCAGCGACGTTACAGTTAAGCCCCTCCAGAGTTTATTAAACTCAGTCGGAGGCGTAGAGTCCATATTCTCCATTTTTGGCATACCCGATCTCCCTATCAGTCACAGTCTCTTTCCATATAAGGAGCATATGAATATGTATGCAAAATCATTGCTTTATACAAATCTGACTCTAAAATATGATTTTCCGTAACAGTAACCAATGTCATTTACGTAAGGTGTTAATTTGAAAGACTGCTATGCAGGACACCATTTCTTTTTCATTTTCAGTTACCCTCTACAATTTTTTATAAGTATGTAAAGATATAAAAAAACAAAAAGGTTTTTGCAAGTAAACTGTATTTTTTAGTGTGTTTGACTCTAAATATATATATATATATATACTTTGTTCTGGCAAAATGGTGGCTAAGAACGACTGAATATATACCTACTTGGAAATAAAATGATGCTGTTTCGTTTCCGGTTAAAACATTACGTAAGAGTGACGCGTGTCTGTTCAAATTGTCACAAAACCACGTCACAAAGTCAAAGCAAAACAGAAAAAAGTGTAATTTTCATAACCAACTTACAATCTCTCCACCATAGACAGCAACAAAGCTTATCCTTCCACTGAGCACTGGCACTCATGGGTCATTTCCTTTATTTTTGACATTAGAAAAGCTTTGGAATCTCTAGATTTAAATGGGAACTCGAAGAAAGTACAGATTTCCTTAAGCATGGAAACAGTAAAATAGTTCAATTTTTCCTCCTTGACGTAGTCACACAAGTCATTTATGTCACAGACAATCTGATGTTTTAAGCCAATTTCTATTACAACTGATTCGACGGTGGTTATGTGACTCACTTCTTCCTCGTCAATTAATTCCTTGTCAGATTTATCGTCAACCGCGGTGCTCGGAAACGGACCTGCCCGTCTCCTTCTCGAGGAGGACAAAAGGGAGAAAAATCCTTGTATTTGGGCTTTGGTTAGCCACTCTTCCCGGCAAAACAGGCGCTCGTATCTTGCGAGATTTGTCGCAGATCCTTCCTTCCAGATTGCTCACCAATTTCAAACTTGGAGGTGAGATACTGCCTTACTTTCTCTGAGAAGCGAAAAGCACCGCCTTTTGGCTTATGAAGTGCCCATCCTTCACTTAAATTCGACTGGAAAGGTTCGCTACCCTGTCTCTACATAACATTGGTACTGTCGTCTTCTGAAAGGGTAAGGGATGAGAATTTTTCAACCCAGCTGTGTCTCAAGCAAAATCGACCGGACC